CTAAAGGTTCCTGAAAATGGAACCCGAGTTGTGATTGGCCAATTCGGAGAAAGGAATGTAGTTCGGTTGTCAGCAGCCGTTCTTTTGGGGGAGCGTTGCGTGACATCCAAAAAAAAAAACGGCTGCGAGGGAGACTAGACACGCGGGTGATCTCAGAAATTTAAATCATTTAATATTTTAAAGCGCACAATAAACTGGAAATCTGGGAAATGTTTCAGTAAGGATTACTTCTTTTCTAGCGCCTTACTCGTGTGATGTATCTGTTAATATGAAAATTTTGGCAAGAGAAGAACCAGTTTCACTCATAAAATGTCGTCGGAAGCACATACCTGCAGCAGCAATTACCCATTTCAAACCATGTGACCCCAGCGAGCGGCGGTATTGAATCATAAGGAGCAACAAATATAATCCATGCCAGTAAAGTTCTCAAACTAAGCAGCTAACTTGAACCATAACATGCACTCACCTGAATAAGATAGTCAAGGGAATCATAAAGCTACCAAGAATGTTCTGAAGGTATGGTGGTGTGCGGGAGCCTTTACTCGCAAATGAAACCATTGCATCGTTCAAAGCGTCAAATAAACCCACCAAAAATAACAACTTGTGGGGAACCTCCTTTCCTTTGAGAGCCTCCGGTGAATATATTCGAACGTGAAGAGTTGCAATTCCAAATATCACGAGAAATACCACATTTGTGAACAGTAATACAAAGTAACTGTCCACCGTGTGGCCTGGACTGTTACCTTTTGTAGAATCGATCCATAGGGGAAGTGAGACGTTCTGGCCAACCGTTGAAAACACAGTGGTAAATGCGAAGATAAAGTTCGCCCAGAATAGAGGAACTTGAAAGAACCCCATCTTAACCATAGAACAATTTCCATCCTCTGAACTCGCGAGGGAAGGTGTTGACTCGGACGACAAGCTCGGCTTTCTGTTGGAAATCGTTTTTATCTCAGAAGCCGTCGAGACCTTGGATGTGGCTGAACCCATTTTTAGAATGAATTATCGACGTTTTGTAAGTTTTTTTTCTTTTTAAAGCTTTCGGAAAGGAAGGCCTTGGATGAAAGCGTTCTCGCTTTGCACCCAAACAGTGTCATGCAAGTCTCATGAAAAGCGCGCGTGATGTAAGTTTACCCAGAAATTTCAAAACTCGAACTCCTGTTGATCACGAGAAATTACACAGCTTTAAATGCTTAAGATGGAAAAAATTAGAACACGTGATTTCTAAGTTATCTTGTAACCTGCGTTAAATTAAAGAAATCACTCCGTTCATCAAATTACGGCTGTCACAAAAATTGTTAACTGTCAGTCCCATGTTTTATTTGGTTTGTTATGTTCAGTCGTCACAGTAGAGAAATGCAACTGAATTTATTGACCATTTTTTTTCCAGTGCAACAATACTTTTTTCTTTATTAAAATACGATCACGTCGGGAATATATATAATTACAAATTTTGTATTTAACTTTATCTGTAGAAGTTCAATAAAATTTTGCCAATACTTTTATCAGTATAATTCTTAATATAATCCAATTTTCATTATACACCGAGGGAATATTTCGCAGTGAAGAACATTTTGTTAACGGCGAATTAATCACTTTCGATAATATTATGGAGGAAATTTTTCGCAGTTAATAAAAGGTCATTAACGGCTAAGTACTCGCTCTGAATTATTTATAGTTTTGAGCGGTATTTTGCAGTTAATAAAATTTCATTAACGGCGAATTACTCGTACTGCATTATTATATTGTAGAGCGAATATTTCGCAGTTTTTAAAATTACATTAACTACGAAGTACTCATTTTCTGTAATTTTTTAGAGCGAATATTTCGCAGTTAATAAAATTTCATT